TAGGTTGTATTATTACGAAATTATTACGAGTTATATTATTATAATATATATTCAAAGAAATTTGGTGGACTTTATTTTCTCATTGACGAATTTAAATCAAAGAATTACAGCGTATTACAATAATAAAATGTGTAAAATATTCTGACGTTATAATTGTATTTATACATATTATATCGTTATTATGTATTCCATAATTATCATAATATATTTTAGTTTAAATAACTAATATAATATATTTATGCATGATGTAATATATTGTATAATATTGCATATAATTTTAACATTAGAATATTTCGTGTATATTTTGTATTATTATTACGCGTTCTTCGAATTTCTACACACATATATGTGGGTATGTATAATATTATAATAGTTAGACTACCGATTAGACCGCGGATTTTTGTGTATTTGTAGAAAATTTGAAGAAAGGACATACAGACTGCACGTAATACAAAAAAATGTATAAAATACAGTGCCTGCTATAATATTTAATAGATGAATCAAATCACTAATTAGATTTAATCAAAAACATGAATTTGTACAAAGATCTGCTAATAATAATTGCAACTAAACTGTGGATTTTCATGGAGTATTTGAAGAATAAGTAAAAATGCACAGATTACTCAAAAATATTTAAAATACCCAGAGAAGAGTGTTAATTACAATTCGATGTAGAACGAACAATTGTCCATTTAGATTCCATTTCGTGCCTAAAAATCGGCGCTCTGATTGCAGGGTTCAGCGAGAAGTGAGAAAATTTCTTCAGTTTCTTCAATGATTAAGCAATTTCCAAACGGTGAACCGAACATCTGCGCGTATTCTAATCTACATCAATCTTCCAAACGTTTCCCCGGCGACGACCTCGAAGTTACGGATTTTGAAAATCAGAGCTTCCGTCTTTCCAGAAATAGAGTTTGTCAATACGCTTCTACGGATCGTTGAGACAGTTCGACAGTCTGTCTACACCGGTTTCCTCTCACGACGTGTTCCATCGTCATTTTCCGACCGAGCAGCTTTCTATCGAACAGCTTCCCTTGCCTCGCCGGCGGAGATCGAATCTTTTGTGTCCTTCCTCTCGGTGTTTTTTTCGGCGTGCGTGCGCCGATATGGCAACGCACGTAGCTGACTTTGAAGCAGGTAGATCCACGTGCTGACACGTGTGCCTCGACGCATACGAACTTAATCAGCCGTTGGCGTGCACCACGTGCCGTGAATTTAAGTATTCGAAAACGTCCCGTACTTGCTCTCTCGCTCTCGCTGAAATTACAACGTGTCCGAGGGACGTGTAACATCGGCCCTGTCGCCCGTTGACGATGATTAGAATAGTCATTCTGCTCGATCGAGTCACGATCGGAACGGAGGTGAGCGAGGAAAATTCTCTTGTAGAATATTTTTCTTTTCTTTTTTTTTTTTATTTTATACTCGAACTCGCGCGGGTCTTGTAAGTACACTGCCGATCTCGGTTTACGACCATCGTTACGTGTTGAGAAAGAAATTCTTCTATTCATTATAGTTTTATTTCAGAAATTTTTATTTCAGTTAAAACAGTTTAATTTTTATTTAAGAAACTTTTATTTAATAAAATAGCTTCATTTAAGAAATTTTTTTGCTACAAGAGAAATGTTTACAGATACTAGTTAAATGGAAAAATTTAAAAAGAGGGGGAAGAATCTGCAATGTTACGTGCTTTCCGTCGGAAAATCCTCCTTCGTTTTTCAATACAACTTTTGCTATTTGAGTAAAATTACTATTCTTCCGATTGATTTATTTCAATTTTTAATAATGGCAATAATGGCACACTCCATGTAATTATTAAAAAATCTTCATTGGGTGAACTTTTTGCGAGCATGTTGAAGCATGTTAAACTCTTTTAACTCGGAACAACTCAATTGGATTAAAATCAAACAACTGGATTGAATTTTTCACCTCAATTCGTATTTATTTCAATTTTTTCTTTTTTCAAATATCCTCTACGCTCAAGGTGATTATTCTGTCGCATAATAAATTTAAAAGTACTTGAAATACAAATTCTTTTGATCGGTAATACGTGTATATATATATTACTATTACCATTAAATACTTTAAATACTTTAAATATATATACATGCTGTAAAGAAATTGAAAAGCTCTTTGATTTATATATATAAATTACTATTACCATTAAATATTTGAAATACTTTAAATATATATACATGCAGTAAAGAAATTGAAAAGCTCTTTGATTTATATATATATACAGGATGTGGCACGTAACTGTCTCTACGATTTTCGGGAATTTCTGATTGTGTGACAAAAAATATTTTGAACAAAAATCAATCAGTTTCTAGTTGGCTACAAAGTATAATAGAAAAAATTCCAAAACTTTTTTTTCCGATAAAAAATGAAGGTCACATTCATTTTTTTAAATGGCACCGTGTATTCTTGACTTCGGAAGATTGTTGCTTCTGAAAAAACGAATTCAACGACTATACTATGACCTTCAGATGTCATATTGACTTCAGAAATATATATATATATATATACATCAAAGTACTTTTCTTTAGAACTTATAGATATGACAGAAAGTTCAATTCATTTCAAAGAAAATAGTTTCATCAACCTGTCTCCACGATAAATCTTTCTCTGTTTCTAAAGATTCTTCACCCTTTTTCCAAACTGTTTTTCAATTATTTTTCTGGTAATTTAAAAATATCAAGTGTGACACGGTCTCGAGTGTCTCTGTATCTCGTAAAAACTAACGTCTGGTTACACTCGACGAAAAAGTGCAAAGGGTCGATCGCGATATTAATTCGAACATGGTTCTCTAAATTTTTATAAGGACGTCGTTTAAATAACACGAGAGTTGAGTACGAACGTTTGAACTCACTGTGACGTGGTAAAACGTTTACGAGAGCAGAAGCCATTGGCTTCTTCTCAATTACGAACAGAATTTCCCGTGGAAACATCGAGGGCTCGAGTGATGCCACGAGAGAACAGAATGATCTGCAGGCTCAGCCCTCGAAGATATCAAGATCGAAGATAGCAATGGCCGCATGCGTGCAACCGTTGTAAAGGAACATGAGATCTTAACTGGTCGATCTCGTGACGTATTCCGTTGGCCGTGTACGGCCGGTTCGTTCCCCTGGTTTGTCCGTTCGTGTCGCTCAGCGGGTGCCATCGCCAGTTCTGCACCCTCGCATCCGTCAAAACGTTGGCTCTCCTTTTATTACGCGGCCGGCCGCGTTATAAATTTCGATGAACGATGAGCCGGCCGAGACGAACGAGAAAGTCACTCCTATCTTTTCGGATAACCAATTACTTGTCTCGTGCGTGAAACGTTTCCTGTCGTGGGTCGTCAGTCCCCGATCGTCTCCGGCCTAATCGATGATTGCCCCGAGGCAATCAAACTCTCATGGAAAAACGTGTTCAATTTTTTCCTCCCCTCATTTGATGTAGAAACATCAGAACGACATTGAACAAAGTCGAATTATCATGCAAAGTTTCATTTACACGCAGAGCTGGGGTAAAATTTCGTCGAAGGATATTTCAAATACTATTTTTCAAATAATTGTCGTTGCTGTATATAATTCAAATAAAATATCTTCTTGAGCAGAAAGTAAGATTTGTTTTTATTAAGCAAATAAAATACTTTCACTTCGATGATCTTTTAGGTGAAAGGAAATATTTCAACACTGAGTAGTATCTGAAATATTTGTCGACGATGAGAAATGCATCGAGGAGAAGTGCAGAAAATGATAATATTGTTATTTTAAGTATAATTGTTTAACAGGAGGTTTAAACAGAATTTCATTTTAAAAATAATTCTTTCACGCAGCTGTACTTTATAATACTTTCAGCTTCAGACTCAGTATCGCAACAATTCTAATTCACCAATGCTACTATCATACTCAGCAATATCATCATTGTGTGTTTTTCGAAAATAAATCATCTGCTTCTGCTTTGCTAAAACAAAGAGAACCGAATTCGTACGTTGATTTGTCGTTTCAATATTATTCGCTTAATATAATTATGCTTGTCTTTCACTTAAAAAATTAAATTTTAAATTTTAAATTTAATTTTTTAAAAAATTTATATATATAAATAATAATTATATTTATTTTAAAATTAATAAAAAAATAAACTTATTTTATATATTATTAATTAATAAATTTATATATATTTAATTTTATAAATAATTTTAATTATAGTTTATAAAAAACATTAAATTGCAAATTTAAAAATATTTATTTATTATTAATTAATTAATAAAAATTTTAAGTTAAATAAACTATTAATCTTCAAAATTAAAAAAAATATATATAAATAATTATAATTTATTAATTTTAATTTAATTTAATATTAAATTTAAAGTAAAACTATTAATATTTTAATTAATGAATATATATATAAAATTTAAATAAATAAATGATTAATATCTACAAATCATAAAAATTTTCGTATTTTATATATAATATTTGCTTTATGATCAGGAATTATTGGATCATCATTTAGTATATTAATTCGAATAGAACTTAATAGACCTGGAATATGAATTAATAATGATCAAATTTATAATTCTATTATTACTAGCCATGCTTTTTGAATAATTTTAAATAATTTTACTAGTTTAAATTATAAATTGTAGAAACAAGTGCCAAGAGATTGATAAACTACTTATACCATTAAAAAACACTGGGTATACGTTAATGTTTGATCGTTACGAATGAAAAAAGAAAAATTAATAAAAATCTCGCTATCCTGAATACAATACCTACAAATACTGTTTCAAAAACTTTCCTAAAAACGAATAAAACATTCCACTTTCGTACGTAATTTGAAACAAATTAGGTCAGTCTTTCACACGTGATTTGAAACGTGAGTTGGATCAGTTTTTTTAGATCTTTTTTTATACCCTCTAGCCGGCTCTGCTCTTTGTACGCTTTGTAATAAACTTGGACGCTTCCAATCCAGCCTTACCGAAAACTCTCCCTTTCATTCGTGTGTGTTGGTTGGTGTTGCAGGTCTCGAGTCTCAAGTGCAAGATTCCAAAGACCTTTACTGGTTCTAGAAGCGAGCCACGGAGTCTCGTGGGCCGAACTAATTCGCAACATCCGGTGGATGAATACCGCGAACGAGAGAGAAACACGAGCTCGTGATAATCCGCGCGACCAACAATCGGAAGAACAACGAAAAACTGTCAGCTGCTCGGACGAACGTACCGACAATATGGCGAAACCGGAACCGCTCGGTGGAACGTCATCGTTTCAGGAGAGGAGGGACGAGAGCGCGTTCGCAATTCGCGAACCACGGAAACCACGTGATATTAGCGTACTAGGGGACGATTCATCTTCTTCGCCGGCGAGAAACACGGGAGAGGTGGATGGAACATTTGTTATACCGGGGGAGGGCCGGAGGCGAAGATTCGTTCACGCCGCGTCGAGCGCATGTGTACATAGTGTTACCTAATTTACTCATAAGGATCTACTATTAGCGTACAATTCAGATAGTATTAGAGGGATACGTTTGCGCGCACTATTACCTTCATAGTGAACTGAACGATGTAACACAATGTCCGACCGACCGCTGCTGGAAACAACAAGAAGAGCCTCTAGAGTTTCGTATAGAGTGTAGGGAAATTAGGACATCGACAGTCGGCGTGTCCAAATTTTCCAAATAATTACGGAGGAGAGGGAACCGCGACGCGATCGTCATCCGATGTCCTCTTCGTTGAAGGGTTGAAGATAATTCGAGTTGCAGGAAGAGATTTATGTTCCTTGAATAATACTATCTTCTACTGTAAAGTGTATTTTTCTTTTTCTTTTTTTTTTCTTTTCTTCTCTTTTCTTTTCTTCCGTTGAGAACGAGAAATGAACCCGGATGTTGGGGCTCGTTGAATTTATCGGAATTTATTCGGTTTAAGTTATTGAAGGTTGAGGCAGAGATCGAAGAGGATTTAATTATTTGGCGAATTTGACTGCAGATTTAAGTGAAATATTTATTGACCAATGATCTTGCCATATATATATGTATATATATATGTGTATATATATATATATATATATATATATATATATATATATATATATATATATATGTACATATACATATACATATATATATTTTATATATATATATAAATATATATATTCGTTGAGAGCGAAGGTACAGAGGGTAGGTAATGCAACAAGTGGCGGTTTTCACGGGTTTTCCAGGGGATGAAACGGAACGGGCCGCTGGTGGATGGAGTCCCACGCCACTTCCACTTCCACTTCCACTTCCACTTCCACCGCCACTTCCACTTCCACTTCCATCGCCACTTCCACTTTGCACGGCAAAACCGCCGACACTTCCATTCCTACCCTCACCTCCCCCTGCCCCCTTAACCCGCCCCGTCCCACCCCGACCCCGTGCCACCCCTTAACGGCCGCAAAGCTCCTGCTCCGGGAATTTAAGGGTGCAACACCCTTACGGCGCTTGGTCCCTTCGTTGTTCGCGCGTCGCGCCGACGACGAGGTTCAAAGGTAGGTCAAGCCGGCCGAACATCTGACCCAACGGGTCACGATTTTTCGTAGAAAAATTCCCCATCCGATCGATCTCGGGGGATATTTGCCAAAAGTTGTTTGTAAGCTGTGTCGTAGAGGAATAAAAGAGAGAGAGAGAGAGAGAGAGAGAGAGTTCTGTGTTTGGCTGCTCGAAACCACCTGCTCCGGACTCGCAATTTCCCCCTTCTCACCCCCCCGTTCGCGGTGCAATTCGAATTCTCGCTGAAAGAAAGATTGGCAAGCGTTTTTACGCTCGGGCAATCAGCCACGGGGTTCTTTTAATTTTCTATTTAACGTCGATTCCACGAACGAAACGAACGGACCGTGGCCGTGGCGCGGTAGTAGTTTCTTCGAGCGAGCGGGTTGATGAGTGGGAGGGGGGTTGGGAAGGGGGGGTGTGGCGGGGCGGAAGGGGGTGGCGGCTCCGCGTGCCAGTATGTATTTCCGAGTTTAGTGCGGTGCCGGTGGAAACCATTATTTGAAATCGGCCGACGCGATTGGCCGGCACGAAGGCACGGAGAGCGGTTCGCATGATTAAGATCATCCAATGATTCCTTCTCTATAATGATAGGTTCTGACGCTGCCTCCGCTGCTGTTGCACCGCGGCTGGCGGGGCGGTTCGCGGGCGGAAGGGCGAGGCATTACGCGAGATTACTGAAAAAGAATCGTATGCTAATGAAAGTATCTTGCGTCTTCCCTCCTCTTCTCCCTCTCACGCGTCCTCTCGATCCCACGTTTCGAGAATCGAGACAAACGACAAGAACCTTCGCGGTTATGTTCTTCGAACTCAGGGGGCGGGAAAAAATCCCGCGGCCAATGGATTCGATAATTCTCTCGTGGCGCGACCCGCGATTACATCACCGAAACACACTCGACTGACTCGGCCGTCTTTTCGTCGTCGTTGTCGCAACGAATTTTTTCTTCCTCTTCTTCTTCTTCTTCTTCGTCTTCTTCTTCTTACTCTTCGAGAGGAAAGATCCGTGGACGCGAGAGAGTGGTGGATCCCGTGTTTCGAGCGAATCATTTCAATTAGAGAAGGAAGGGTGGAAAGAGACGAAGAAGAAAAGCACGCGGATAGATGGATAGGGTAGGGCAGAGAGAGAGGAGGACTGCTGGGACCGATGGTTCTTATTATTTTCATTACGTGGTTATAACGAAGCAGCGACGGCGAGGCGGCTAGAAGCGAATCGAGCCAGGTGGGTGGGTAGAAGGAAGAGGGACGGCGGCGGCTGCCGGGGCAGCAGCAAGCAGATGGAGTTGGACGAATTGGAAAAAAACCATTTAGCAACTGGCTATTATAACAATACGTGATTCGTTTATCTCGTCTTTGTACAGTCCGTTGCTCGAATCCCACAGTTTCAATCCTTCCTTCTCCGTTTCCCATATCGCGATACCAAAATCGCACAGTTTTCCTTTTTCTTTTTTTTCCTTTTCCCTCTCTTTCGTTTTTTTTCTCGGACGAAAGAAGCCAAGAGAGAGAGAGAGAGAGAGAGAGAGACTGCTGGTTGTTCTTAACCACTTTGCAACTGATTGCGGACCATAACGAGTGACCAAACTGTATACAATAATTCGTCGCTTTCTTTTTGAACTCGTCGATACGATATCACTGGACAGAAATTATTGAAGAGTAATAAATTTATTATTCGTTATTATTTTGCCTATTTCTGTTTTACTTAAATATAATAAATATAATTTTATTTATTATAACATGTTATGCTACAATATATAACATATAATATGTTATAACATAACCTATGTCATGCCTAATATAACCTAATATAACCTAGTTAAATACATTGACATTTAGCGTGTTTATTGTTAAATTATGTTACAGATTAAAGCTTTATTGATTTTTAAATGGAATAAAATTTTCTACAGTCAGAAAACGACATTATTTATAGGTATCCTTAACCAGTTGCGCTAGCGACTGATTGCGGACCATAACGAGTGACCAAAACGTATACAATAATTCGTTGCTTTCTTTTTCAACTCGTCGGTATGATATCACTAAATAGAAATTATTAAGAAGTAACAAATTTATTGTTCGTTTCGCCTATTTCTGTTTTACTTAAATATATAATTTTACTTATTATAACATGTTATACTATAATATATAACATGTTATAACATAACCTATGTCATGCCTAATATAACCTATATTCTAGTTAAATACATTGACATTTAGTGTATTTATTATTAAATTATATTAAAGCTTTATTAATTTTTAAATAATATAAAATTAGATTAAAGCTTCATTTTTAAATAAAATAAAATTTTCTACAGTGTCAGAAAACGACATCCTTAACCAGTTGCGCTGGCGACTGATTGCGGACCGTAACGAGTGACCAAATCGTACACAACAATTCGTCGCTTTCTTTTTCAACTCGTCGGTATGATATCACTAAAAAGAAATGATTGAGAAATAATAAATTTATTATTCGTTTCGCCTGTTTCTGTTTTCCTTAAATATATACTTAAAACTGAGTGAATATCACAATTTTGGGACAAAAAATTCTCGACGTGCGTGACACGTCGTTCGAGCGCAAGAGGTTAACACAGGCACAGAGGTTAAGATCGCGGACACGAAGGAGAGCACAGGTTAAAGGGTGAGACGGCCCCGGTGTCGAAACGAAGATATACACACACACATGGCTCGTGTGGCCGCCAACGTATGTACACACATTGGCCACATTGGCTTTGCAGATCGAACACGGCTTCCGTGGGTAAGTTGATTTCGTGCTGGAAAGCATGATCGCGGAAGTATCGTGTGCTGCTGTCGCGGACTGTACGATAATGCCGCAGGATGGATACCTCTGCATTACAATATGAACTTGGATCGCCTCGGTCACGTTCCCTCCATGTGTGTACATTCGTCTCTGTGTGTATGTGTATACGTGTGTATGTTTTCCTATCCGTGTGTGGTCCACCTCTGGTCCCGTCCTTTCCTTCGACCTTTTTTTTCTCTTTTCTCTTTCTCTTTCTCTCTTTCTGTGTTTGTTCCCATCTCCCTTTCTCTTTACCCTCGGATTGTTTCCTCGACTGCCATGCCGGTGGTATCGTGTCTTCGTGCATCTGTTGACCCCTGTTATTCTTCCACTTGGTCCCCGTCCCGCGTCCGAATTTCTCGAACGATCGGTTCTGATCGAACCTGAAGAACCTTTCGACATCGCGGATATTCGCATTCCCGTGAAATGACGCGACCTTTGAATTTGAAACCCGAGTTGAAATTGCAAGCGTTGTGGCGTTTATCGATGTTCTAAAACACGTTCCGCGGAGGGCCGATTTTTGGTTACTTTTTGTTTAAAGCGCCCCACGCTGTTACGCTATTATTAATAGTTTTGCTTCTGAAGTAAAAGTCTTGCAATATCGCGGAAACTATAATTACCGAGAAAAAGTGTCTAGAGTTTAAGCTGCATTATAGGACAAAGTAGTAACAATTTAATTTCAAGGTGTTGTTTTGACAAACAATTTTTTAATGATGTCAAAATTAATTTTAAAATAATACATTTTGTTCCAAATATTTGTGGTATTATCGTTTATATGCTAAATTGTAATAAATGATATTAAATAGCAACAATTTATTGTACAAATTATATAATACTATACACACTATATACATGTATGTGTGTGTGTGTATATATAAATTATATAATTATATAATACTATACTATACAACATGTTTCCAATCGCTTTGATGAACATTGTTGAATTTATTATGTGAATTATGAATAATACTATACTATAGAATACTATACAATAATATTAAATATGATATTTAATATAATATATACTTATATATTATTTATATTATAATAATATAATAATATTCTTACATAGCTATGTCTGCTTATATGTTGTGTATAAGTATATATAATATTATACTTATACGTTATTATTAATATAATATATAATATACTTGTATATTGTATACTTTAATATGGTATAATATTTATATAATATTTACTTTAACGTTATTTCGATAACAAATTTCACAACGTTCTCGTACCGAATCTCAGTCGAGGAAAATAATCGCGCGCGCGCCACGATAGGACGAACGCTGTTGTGTGTACACGTCGTTAAGACGAGTCGGTGGACGACTTTGCAACAGACTTTTACAGAAATTCTCCGTTTCTACAATGAAAAAATTCCGAGTGGCTCGAACGGGAAGTTGACCGTTGGGGCGTGTACGCCCCCACGCGGCACGGAACGTGTCAATTCGACGACGAGCAACGCAAACGTTTTGATACAAATAATAAGGGAAATACGGCGGGAGGTCGCAACCCGATGGGAAAGGTCGGCCGGCTCTTTATATAATATCTAGCGTGAATTATAAACGTTCGACGCCGATAAACTGCTGAGCAACATCCGGCTACTCGCCTTTCTCCCGATAGATGGAAAAACTGCCGGCTGTGTTCGTTGGTTATACGTAGCTCGGTTTAGAGAAGGCTCTTCGTTGCGCTTCGACGCGTCGCGAGCGTCCTTTTTGCCAGCCGCGTCGGCGATAAACAACCCCCCCCCCCTCCCCCTCACGGAACTCGAAA